GACATAATTAAGATAAAAACATGTGTTCGCAAAAAAATATGGCAGGGCCACCAAATTATGTAGTGGTCGAAAGATACCGGGAAGGTTTCAACCCCTTAGTAAAAGGCAAAAAGTTGGAGGGGGTTAACCCACAATCTAACCACCGTTGAGTTCGAGTCGTAGGTTGCGCTATACATGTGGCACACGTCGAACACAATAGAAATAGACGTTCGACAGTAATTCCGAATATACGATCCGATTTGAAAGCAGACTGATCAGCACCGTACGTACCCAGAAGCAGCACAGTCAGAAATCAGCACGTGGGAACGCGGGGCACGAAGAAGTGCGCTGTAATCATTAATTCAAACAAACTATACAAATGATGTCATGCTAAAATTGATGACAAGAAAGACAAAATGTGAAATATTAATAACTACTACAATGCTTCCCCCCGTAGAGCTTGAACTGATAAGGTAACGCTCGATATAGCTATTTATGGAACAAACTCAGCTAGTTTGGAAGGGAACGACGCAGAACCTCCTGAACGTGTATGCTTGGGATCATGCGTTGAGTGAGCGCATGAAGGTTCTGGAGCATTGGTATCAGTTGGTTGACCAACAGGAGGTAACAACTTGGGGTCAGTCAAAGTAACGGCAAGCTCAACATAAGCGGGTTTAAGACGGTCAATACGCACGGATGCTTTCGATCCATTCCTTTCCAGTATGAAGTACTTGGGTTTCCGTGACAACACTTTGAAGGCGATGTCAACGGCTTGCGAACTGCATCCGTGCGAATGAAAACCAAAGGTCAAGCATGCAAGTCCGGATGAATTGGTTGTTCGCGGGCAGTGAAGCGAGTAGACGTAGGTTGAATTGTTCGGAAGTGGTGTTTGAGACGTGCGGCGTAGGACACAAGATCCATCTCACCAGTGACTCGGGAATCCAAAATCATCTCAACTGGAAGTGTGAGAGTGGTGCCAAAGACGAGTTCGGCAGGACTGCATCCAATATCCTCTTTGACGGTATTCCGAATACCGAGAAGGACAGCTGGGAAGCGTTCAGACCAATGTGGGTCAGGTGAACTAGCTGTGACGACGGTTTTAACCCGAAGATGGAGACGCTCGACAAAGCCATTTGAAGCGGGATGATAAGCAGTTGTCCGAATGTGGGTACAATCCAACAGACGATTCAAGTCACAGAACAAAGTGGAACTAAACTGAGATCCTCGATCTGTAGTGATCGTAGGTGGTACACCGAAAATGGAAATCCATGGGTCGAAAAATGCACGGGCAACAGATTCTGAAGATGTGTCACGTAAAGGAATGGCCTGAGGCGAACGAGTAAAACGGTCAAGCCAACTCAGAATGAAGGTGAAATCGTTCGATGGAGGAAGCGGTCCTACTATATCTAGCTGGACATGTCTAAAACGCGCCTCAGGTAGTGAGAATGTTCCGGGGGCAGAGATAGTGTCTGTGTACTTTGCTGCTTTGGCAGCTGAGACCGTGTTTAGCCCATTGACGGATATCGGAGCGCATACTATGTCAGATGAAACGATCAGTAATCAACTTCACGGTGGATCGAATGCTAGGATGCGATAGACCATGAAAATGGTAAAAGACGGTTCGCCGGAAAGACTGTGGAACAAACGGTCTTGGCTTACTGGTAGAGCGATCGCAGTGAATCCTTGCGACTGAGTTTAAACTTGGTAATTGCGAGCATTTCAATGTGGTATTCGATCGAGGCTGAGCGAGTTCATGATCGTTGTTCTGGGCAACAGACATTTCCTCAAGGTCTACTGGAGAGGACGACAGTTGATGTAGGTAAGCACGTGAAAGTGCATCAGCGACAACATTATTTGGACCGTCGAGGTAGCGAATATCGACACAAAATTGTGAGAGGTAATCCAGATGCCGTGTCTCTCTCGGGGAATAGCGGTCGGAAGCGGCACGAAAAGCGTAGACCAAAGGCTTGTGGTCCGTTAGAATTACAATACGTGACGAAAGTGCTTGACGGCCAAGTAGATCGCGAGAAGTTCGCGACCGAAAGTAGTATATCGCTTTTGTACTGGCTGTAGCTTCCGAGAAAAGAAAGACAGCGGTTGAATCTCATTGCCGATTAGTTGTTGTAGTAAAGCACCGACAGCGGATTGTGAGGCATCAGTCTTGAGAACGAGAGTAGCTTTCTCGTCGGTGTCCAAGTAGCTAAGGGAAGTTACCTGGCTCAACTTCTGCTTGATGGCAACAAACGCTGTTTCGGCTTCTGGCGTAATGCTGAACTTCTTTGGATTATATTTAAGGAAATCGGTCAAAGGCTGAAGAACAGCAGCACAGTTGTCAATTAATCTTTCGTCATAATTAATTACGCCAAAGAATCTGCGCAGGATTTTACGGATTGGGGCAGTTGATAGTCCATGATTGCCTGGGTTTTCTCAGGTATGGGGCCAATGCCTTTGCTATCAATTTTGTGACCAAGGAAATGGACGCAAGAATGACCAAATAGACATTTATCAGAATTAATGGTTATCCCTTGATGATTGAAGCCTTCGAATAATTGTCGAAGGTGATCAAAGTGCTCTGCTGGCGTGGCACTGGCTATGAAAACATCGTCGAGGTAGACAAAAACAAAGTCTATACCACGGAGGACCTGGTCCATGAAGCGCTGAAAGGACTGTGCCGCATTGCGAATGCCAAAAGGCATACGAATGAACTCGTACAAAACGAAAGATGTGATAACTGCCGTTTTAGCAATGTCTTCAGGTGCCATTAGAATTAGCTGGTACGCTCGCACAAGGTCAATCTTGGATAAAACGGATTTCCCGGACAATCCCAATGAAATATCATGAATATGAGGATTAGGGTATCTGTCGAGGATGGTAACGGCGTTGAGTGCTCGGTAATCACCGCATGGACGCCTACCACCGGACTTTTTGGGTGCCAGATGAAGCGGGGAAGCCCAACAACTGTTGGATGGGCGAATGATTCCGAGGTTGATCATGTGCGCTTGGAGCTTGTCAGGCGGAAGACGTGGCGGTTTGGCTGACACGGGTGGATCTGCGGTGATGATATGATGACGAACCTCGTGTATAGGCCCGGTAGAGTCTTTATTAGAGCGGACCAAAGGCGGGAATGGCTGAAGCAATGAAGAATACGGCATAGTGTCTGGCATGAGTACGCGAAGCCCGACGGAAGTGACTGGGGCGAGATGGCAAGGGACAGTGAGCGAAGTGTTGTCGTCCCGTAGCTTCCTGCTACGTAGGTCGACAACGAGGCCGGATTTGCTAAGGAAGTCGATGCCATGTATGGGTTTCTGGAAATCTGCGATGGTAAAGATAAAAGGAAATTCATGTCGTAAACCAAGGCTTAGGTGTAAGAGCTTCTGGTCGTATGTCGCGATCTTAGTCTGGTTAACCGCCTGAAACGTAAGTCCGGCTTGTTGCAGAGGTCGTTTTTCCAACGAACGTGGTACAACGCTGATTTCTGCGCCCGTATCGATCAAAATATGAAGCTTAGTCGTGGAGTCGAACACGTACAGAAGGCAACCGAGGATTTGGCCAGCGACAGCCGTCGCCATTATTGGCTGGCTTTGGCGGTTTCCGGTTGCGAAACCGGAGTTCCTTTCGGATATTTGCAACCCGGGTGACAGTTACGTGCTGATGTACCGAAGCGACGGTGGAAGTAACAGTACGACCGCTGAGGTGAGCGTGATGTGCTGCGGCGCGGAGCATGAGGACTTCTTCGGTTAGGAGTGCGTTCACGTCGAATAGCAGACATGCTGGGTTCTAGACGGGAGATTCTATCGTTGATCGAATCAAGCTTAGTGCTATGGGATGAGCTGGCTGTGGTGGACTCAGCTAGATGATTAAGAGTACTCTTAAAGAAACATTCGTGCGTTTTGTCCGCAGCTCCTGCGAGCTTTTACAGTGTGATGTCGTCGCTAAGAACTGATAATATGGCTGGGATGTTTGCCGGAAGACATTTCGTTCAAAGTTGGCGGAGTATGGAGTCGTTGAGGTTCGACGAAGCAACTAGGGAGCGCATGTGTCTCAGAAGCTGAGATGGGGTGCGATCGCCAAGCTCGACGCCGGAAAGTAACTGTTGCAGACGAGCTTACTCAGACGCAGTGCTGCGTTTAAGAATAACTGTTTAAGTTTATCATACGGCGCTTCTACAAGTCTGGGATCAAGGATATCAATGACTTCAGATGCAATGGAGACAGACAAGCGCGGTACGACGTAGGAGGAAAGGGAACATTGTGAAGTGAGCTTACGACATCGAAAAGTAGCTTCTACCTGAATAAACCACAAAGCGGATTAGAAATGTCAAAGGTAGGAAGTGAGAATTCGACGGAATTGTCAGTAAAAACACATGGGGTCTGGTCAGACATAATTAAGATAAAAACATGTGTTCGCAAAAAAATATGGCAGGGCCACCAAATTATGTAGTGGTCGAAAGATACCGGGAAGGTTTCAACCCCTTAGTAAAAGGCAAAAAGTTGGAGGGGGTTAACCCACAATCTAACCACCGTTGAGTTCGAGTCGTAGGTTGCGCTATACATGTGGCACACGTCGAACACAACAGAAATAGACGTTCGACAGTAATTCCGAATATACGATCCGATTTGAAAGCAGACTGATCAGCACCGTACGTACCCAGAAGCAGCACAGCCAGAAATCAGCACGTGGGAACGCGGGGCACGAAGAAGTGCGCTGTAATCATTAATTCAAACAAACTATACAAATGATGTCATGCTAAAATTGATGACAAGAAAGACAAAATGTGAAAGAATAATAACCACTACAGGACTGATTCGCTGGCAGCAGCAACAACGTTTCTTGGCACTTTGCGTTGTCCATTAATAACTGTATTGTGCTCCGCGTTAGTTTTAACAACTGGTGTTAGTGGTTAAGGAAATGAGAAATGTAGACAGCCCAAATGTAATAGACTGGCACAAAAGCTGTTTTACGACAACTTTAACATGCGCGTTTTAATGCCTCAAACCATGACAGCCATACTTAACCCCAGTGGACGCCAAGCTTTTTGTTGTGTGCATAACATGGAATATGCAAATTAGTATTGCCGCTGTTTTAGAAGTTGCTATCTGGGGAGCTTCGTTATATTTTTGGCATGCATTTAAGAGGCAGTGTGTCAAGCTGTTCATTTACCTTGGCTTTTGGACATTACGTTGGCAATGGAAGATCTTCGTGAAGCGCATACTTGGGGTGAAAAGGTTATATCATGCTCGTGTCTTCATGTTGAGCCCGTACATATAGCAGTATTGGAATAGTAAAAGGAACAAAAGATTCTACGCCTTTTGTAACTTTTGTTACGTATCCATCGTTTTACGGCGAAGCAAAGCCCTGGTACGTGCCTTGAATATTAACCTATCAGTTCCTCGCCATCCTGTAGTTTCGCTTTCGAAGGCGGTGCGTCGATCTTCCTCTCCGATGTTGTGTGACTACGCTTCTTCTGCCGTATGTCTAATATTTCGTTGTTTACTTAGTTTTAGCAATCCTCGAGTGATAGTTCTGATGAACAGCAACACAAAAATGAAAACACACCAACTTCGGTAGGTCACTGCAATCCCTACTGTCCTTTCTACTTTTTATGCTTCAAATCCGTTTTACGCTCGCACTTCGCCACAAGATGTTTGCTTCTGTTTAGGTTTTGCCCATTTTCATACTGAATTACCTTTAGCTCTGACATGGCCTTATGGCAGTTTTTCGTAGTGTATCAGTTTCTGATCCAAAATCCGATTAGAACGTTACAACCGCGATACTGAGTATGGCATTTCTACTGCTCGACTGAGGCGTTTGTTATACTGTGGTTTGGTCTGATGAGGAGGCAGTGCCGTTTAATAAATTCTATTGCATCGATGTGCTTCTTCGACAACCTTGCCTTGTTCCAGCTGGACCTTTGAGACAGTCGAACTTCAGTCTACGCTCCTTATTTTTCCTTTCGTAGGGCCTTAGAGATAATTGGTTGCTCCTTGCCCTTTCATCTTCCGACCCAATAACAGCTTAGCTGCTAGGTCACATTGTTAACAAACTTTAAAACACATATGCGATTTTTTGTCGACTTCATCACTTCCCGAATAATGTAGTGATGCATGTTATAGCGAGACGGTGTTCCACACAATGTCGTTACAATTGAAGGAGTAGCAGTACGACCCCGGTATACTCATTCATTCATTCATTATCAACGTTAGCCACTTTCATAGCGTCTGTTCAAACTCCGTTATACGAAGCATTCGTACTTGTAACACCTATCGAAACGTCCCACAGTAATAGCTTCGGCGACGGGCTCCGGTAGATTTACATTCGTTCGCTACTTGTGAATTAAGCGACTTCCTAGGGGACTTAACGCCTTGGTTTTTAGACTCGAACTGTCTATATCATGTTGAACAGAATTCTTGGCGCAAAATCCCTACTCCACCCCTGAGAATGCACCTGGTTAAATCGGACTTCCACGGCAACGATAATCTCGATAGAAGGGATTCATTCTCTGTAGTCGAATAGAGTAAAACAAGTCCCAAAGCACGGACTTTTCGAACCGTGCCCATAGATTTTTATCATTTCGCGCTCGAAATGAGTTTTCCAATTTACCCGGTTCCTCCACGGTTTTTATTGAAGTCTGTCATGTTCATTAGTTTCTTTCTGTCCATTACATCTGGGTATCCCTCACTGTCTCACGCTCATCGAATATATCGCTGTGTTTGGTCTGACGTTCAGATGGTGCTCTCTCCTTATTAGTTACGATTACACCGTCAGTTTTGGTTCTGATCATAGTTGGCTCAGATTGCGTGTTTTAACGTGCTTCGAGCACGGTTCTCTTTCCCCTTCGGCATTCAAGTCGCAAGTCCAGTCGCGCTTCTTAACGCTTTACTGTGTCGCAGAGTGGGATACCTTGTTATTGTATTGTCCACCGTACACTCCGAGCCGTCGTCCACTCTTTGCATTTCGAATAGTAGCTGTTTTGCCCGCCTTATAGACTAGCGTAGATTCATCTCGATCGTGACCGAAAATCTCTGCAAGCTCCAGTAGGATGCGCGTCTCTTAAATCACGTGTGGTTTTAGATGACATCCAATGGAGATTGGGTAGCACGATCTCCAGTTTATTAGACAAACCGCGTGTCACTTAGTGATCCCATCCTACATCCCAGTAGCTAATTTAATCCTCGTCAGTGCTTTGAACTGCACTTCTCCAAACTCTGTCTACTTCATTGTTTGTTCTTCCCCGCATTAACTGGCGTACATTTTACAAACCCCACTCTTATGACAGGCTCCATTTTCAGTTGTTCCGTAAGGTGTATGTTCAGTATATCAAAATCGCAGCCTCATCGTTTTCTTCGGACTCCCTTCCGTGGGCATATGTTTTTGCAAACGAATGGGCACTAGATAGTGCTGTCCCATGTGTTGAACGGGACTTTTTGAACCAAATGTTTCTGCTAGCGGCCATTTAACCACCCGGTCTTCTGTTTTATAACTTATAGGCACGAATGCTTTATCCACTTTATTTCTAACTTCAGCACAATTAATCAAAAAACCGGATGATCGCCAATTCAATATTTTATACAACATACTGCACTCCTTCGGGAGCTGCCTGTGATTGCTACACGCCATCCACAGTAATCTAGTTATAACCGCTTTTGTTTACGCACTTTCACTTAGCCCAGATAAAGTAGACAAAGTGCTGAAATGCATAGCGTTCCTGTCTTTTTACTTTCTGTTTTTGTTCTCAAATTCTTCTGGTTGCTCCGGCAAGCTGGCATCCGCGCGCAGTCGAGCTTTCTTCATCCACCATTTAGTCCGAATCGCATGTGTTGCTCTTATTGCTATGAAGGGTCAACATTCCAGACAACTTAGTCATGTAGACATCGATTTCCGTGGGTCACCTGGAGTTCACGCAACTTGTAAACCAGGTGAAACGATACTCAGCTGTGATTTTGCGGCGAGCCGAGGGCTTTGCCTCTATCCAGAATGGATAGTTTACTAGCGTTCCTTCTCCATGGGTCAGAGAACAGTTACCGTCGTACTTCAGCACTGCCCATACTTCCTTCAATAGATACGGATCAAAGCGCTGGAACGGATTTGCCCATATTCCTTGGGTTCATGGTTCCCTACTCTGACCGAATTCAGTGGCGTTGTGTTCAAACTCCAGTGAGTGTTAACATTCAGCAAGCTAATCCTTCTGGTTTTTGAGGTAAGCTCCTCTCTATTTCAGTGCTTGCTTAAGAACTGGGAGTTTATTTCAAGTGTCTCGATGCTTGCGCTCCAACTATTTTTTTTTATTTCTCGCGGGCACAACCCGAACATCTGTATTCATCATAAATGACGGTTTCAACATATCCGTTTCCGTGCTCCGTGACATTAACACGGGCAAGTGAATCTGACATTTAATACATTTATTGGTGACAGTGTACGTACTGTTTCAACCGCTGTCATATTGGGTGCACGATTCATCTATACTTCCAGAAAAATCATTCGTGATAGACGTGCTCCCTTTTCCACTAAAGTGGATTTTAGTAGATCTCAACTTTTGGTTTGTGGAGCAGTGTTCATGTTCGTTTTCTTGCTCCTTCTAGCATCCGATGGCTATACTGTTTGTTAGGACACTTTGAAACCTTTCATATGGTGTCAGTTTGTCCCCTTCTAGTCTCTTTTTAAGCGTACACATCGCATCAATTGGACAGTATTCGTTATTTTTGGTAGTCGTGATTAAACGACCTGTTATCTTTCGCAGGAACCGGCCTCTGTTCGGCGCTCAACAAGGAGCAGATCACCATCACAGCCGCGTGAAACTAACACCAATTCCCAGAAGCGCCAATCCCGCGAAGTAGAACGCAGAAGTCGATCATCCAGTGTAGAGCACCATTTTTCTTCCAAGAAACGTTCTCCCACGGATTCTTCTAAGTGAGTCTTATAAACGATCCGAATTGTATTGGGCATCGCTGAACGTAATCTTCCAAGGGCCTTAAGGAATTATACCGTAGTCATCTCTCTTATCTATCCACGAGGACGCTTGTCTTTATACTTCAAGGCTGTTGTGTACGCAGTCACTTTTTGCGAAGTAGCAGTGTACTTTCTCGTCATGTCTACCTAACGCCTATAAATACAATGATGTCTGGTCGTGTTCGTGCATGCGTATCTTAGTGTCGCCTGCACGTAGCACGTGTCTGAATGTGTGAGAGGAATACACATCATTTCCCCCTAGTCATGCGGAGCATCAAATTCACACACCTCGGATGGCCTTATTTTCAAGTCTCATGCGTAGCGCCCTACTCTTCGTAGTATCGCCAGGGATATGAGGTGCGACCTGATCCGCTCGCTTGTTACTTCTAAATAGCCTCCTCGCGTTGACCGTACGGCCATCTTCCAACGGATAAATGCCAGACCCCAAGATGCGTGTTATCCTTAAGGGTTCCGATAACGGGCTACCCTTTTGACACTGTTTCCCGGTTGGGACGGATTGGCACTTACGATATTCATCTTGACATCTGGCGACGTTCTAACTCATCGGTGTTGTTATTTACAGGACTATATGTGCGGCGTTCAACCTTGTCGGTGGACTCCAAAGCATAAGTTCTGCCGGCGTCTTGTCTGTCGTTCGGTTCTGTGGGAAGAGTGCTTGTGAAATTGCATCTTCCCAAGTTGGACCAGACCAATAGCTTGGATACTCACTTTTAGCGACCGGTTGAAGCCCTCGACCATGCCGTTCGCCACTGGATTATACAGAGTAGTACGTAAGTGTCGGATAGCGTGAAGATGTAAAAGCGAATAAAACTCATTGCTCGTGAACTGTGGACCATTGTCCGTCACTATCTCCTCTGGTAATTCGCAACGAAAAAACACTTCAGCCATCTGATCATACTCGCATTCGTCACGTCTCCGCACAAGTGAGGTTCCGGCCATTTACTATAAAAACACGTCACAACCAAACAGTTCTTTTGTTGCTATGGCGCTGAGGTGAACGGGCCGATGACATCTTTGTTTATAGGGTAGGATAGTCAATAGGCTATATAGGAGTTAATCGGTCTTGAACTCTTGTCTGCTCTTTGGCATGATGGACACTCATGTACCAGTTCCTCGATTTCATGTAACATTCTGGGCCATCAATAACTTAGTCACCTTTACGTTTTGTACGCACAGTGCCAGGGTGGGCACACAGCATGATCTTTTGCACTTAGCTTCGGGGGAGACGAATCTGCAGCAACGCATTAAACATACATTTATGGGTGATAGCTGGTGTCGTTACATGTAGTATGGGTTGTTTAATTATCATGTGGCCAACTGTTAAGCCAAACCCTTTGGACGTTGCAGAGTATGGCATCATCTTTAGTCGCATTCTGGAGTTCATCCTTAGTCACTGCCGAGATTTCCTGGCTATACAAGGAAGGCACCAGTAACCTGTCACTGGTATCCTCCATATTTTCCTTTCCTTCGAGCGGCAGCCGAGAGAGACCATTCGTTTCTGGTTTTCACGCCCGCGAAAAAAATTGATTTGTACATCGGATGTTACTAGGGGTGTGTACCAGTAAGAGAGCCTATGGTGCGCTGAGGCTTGCGGTGGCTAAATCCTGAGAGATCGTCTACCCACTGCTGCTACTGTTCTGCCATGGGTTCATGTCCTGGACGCCTCCTCGTAGTGACCGCTGGGTGGGAGTTGGGTTACGCCCTTCTCCTTGCTAAGAACCGGGACACCAATCCGCATGGGTCAATGAACTTACCATGTGCTTAACCCGCTGTCTTTCGGGTGTGCCTTAAATCGAACGCTTTGTCTGAGGACCCGAGTCGTTTTCCTGTCAGGTGTGGGCGCCCTGCCAGTATCCTAGTTCAAACCCCGTCCTCTTCGGATGTTCGGAAGTGGTCGATGGCTCTCTTCCCTTAAATCCTAACCATGGGAGACAACAGGTCCACGGGTTATAGGCTCATGGGGTCGGATTTGCACTATCCGATCACCTAAATTCTTAGCTATTGGGTGTACCAACTGACATCAGCGCGCGACTGATGACAGTTTGCCACTTTTATAAGTACGTACGGTCTATGTGTTATCTTGATGACGCGTGATCGATTCTGTACTCAGCCATCCTCCGTGATACGGTCTGTGCCGAAGAGCAGCCGACTATTTCTGCTGGGTGATTTCAACGCGCGCGTTGGGCTTGATGCATCGGTGTGGACAGATGTTATCGGTCCGCATGGCTTTGGTTCAGCGAACGCGAACGGTGATAAGTTGCTCTCACTGTGTGCTACACACGGCCTGACGATCACGAACACTGTTTGCACTGACCGCGAGTGATATAGCAACTTGGACGCACTCACGGAGTGGTCACACTCATCTACTCGACTATGTCATCGTACGTCAGCGTGATATGCGTGAAGTGCGCATGACACGTGTACTGCGTGGAGCTTAGTGTGGCACTGATCACTTGGTGCGGACCAAACTACATATATTTTCATAAATATATGTATTGCACTTCTGCCGTAAATCGGAGGTGTACATTTAACATTCTTTCCCTCGGTACTGTGCAGAAGCGTATTGAGCTGGACAAGGCGATGGCTGCACGCCTGGGTGATGTGGAATGCGTAGCCACAATCAACGACCTGTGGCACCACATTCGCGACCAGGTGATAGCTGCTGCCGAGGAGACCATCGGACGCGGCCCGATTGGTTTGATGTCAACAATGCAACGATTGGCGCATTGGTCTCGGAAAAGAATGCAGCATTTGTTGCACATGTGGTAGACCCAGTGACTTGGGGAAGAGTAGTCGGTTTCGCAAACTTCGTCGGCGACTGACTCGAGAGCCCCGTCGCATAAAAATTGCATGATAGACGGAGAAGGCTAAGCAGATGGAATGCTACACCGAACGCTGCCAACACAAGGAATTCTTTGACTCCTTGAAGGCGGTGTATGGACCTAGGTTGCAGCCATTGAGGGCGCTAATCGATGCTAGTTCGGGCACTACCTGTAAACAGGCTGCAGACATAATGTAAATCTGGCGAAATCACTGAACAACCGTTCAGAGATTGACTGGCCTACTTTTGAACTGCCTGATGCAGCACGATGTGAGTGTGAGTTTGACGGACACGCTGACACTGGATGAGACACAGGGAGCACTTGCTTAGCTGCGAACCGGCAAGTGTGCTGGTGCCGACGGGATCCCTTCTGAAGTATTGAAACACGGTGGACCCGCGTTGTTGACTGCGCTGCACCACTTGGTGCAACGCGTGTGGATTGAGGAGGAGGTGCCTCCTGGACTGAAGCATGCGCTTGTGCTCCCATTGTACAAAGGCAAAGTAAGCAGGCAATGTTGCACAAATTATCGTGGCATCAACCTGTAGAGTTGTGTTGGCAAGATGATTACCCGAATCCTGCTCAACCACCTCGTCAGTTAGGTTGTGGAACCGAACTTGGCGGAAGAGCAATGTGGATTCCTTTCGGGTCGCAGCACCACAGATATAGTGTTTGCGGTTCCTTAGTTGCAGGAGAAGTGCAGAGAATGACACTAGGCATTGTACTCGCTGTTTGTTGATTTCACCAAGGCATTCGATACGGTGAATCGCGGGGCATTGTGGCTGGTGTTGGGTAAGTTTGGCTGTCCGAGTATGTTTGTAACTTTAATTAAATGTCTACCCAGTGATATGCGGGCGAGGATACAACTGAGTGGACAGACCTCGGATGACTTTGCAGTTATCTCTGGTGTGAAGCAAGGCTGTGTCTTAGCTCTGCCTTGTTTAATATTTATCTTCATGCCATGATGTCTTGTGCTTTTGATGCGACTTTGCTTGCAGTGTTCCTGTTGAGCACCGTATTGATGATGGGTTTCTGAACATCCGTTGTTTCGGTGCGAGAACCCTAGTCTGTGAGACAACTATCTGTATGCTGCTGTTCGCTTCGACTACGTTGTTTTCACACAGCGCGGATGAGTTGCAGCACATGACTTCGGCTCTGGCTTCGACGGTGGTCAAATTCGGACTCACCATAAACACAAGCAAAACTGTCTGTCTCTTTCAACCTTCACCTGAGGTGCAATCTGCAATATTGCCGCGAATCAGCATTGGTGACGAAGTATTGGACACCATTTCCCGTTTCTGCTACTTTGAGAGCAGTTTCGACTTACCAGCAGATACACAGTGAGCTGCGTATCCGAGTATCGAAGGCAGCGGCGGCATTCGGGAAGCTTGAGCACCGAGTGTGGAACAGCTATCAGCTTACCGTCGGCACGAAGCTGATGGTGTACAAATCCATGGAGCTGTCCGTGCTTCTATACGGCAGTGAAACGTGGACGACGTTCCGGCGAGATGTGCGATGTATCGAACGGTTACATCAACAGTGCTTGCGACGGTTTCTGCGCATCGGTTGGTGCTACAGAATAGCAGACCGGGAGGTGTTGCGCCGGAGTGAAATGCATGCAGTGAATTACATACTTTTGCGGAGACATCTGAGGTGGCTCGGTCATGTGTGGCGTATGGATTCGACGCAGATGCCGAAGCAGCTGTTATATGCTCAGATGAGTGTTGGGAAGCGATATGTGGGGAAACCGAAGTTACGATACCAGGACATGATCAAAGTAGGCCTCTCACGTTCTAGTGTTGATTGCAGGTCATGGGAATCGAAGGCGGTTGCTCGGCGTGTATGGCGCGATCTGCTCACGAAAGCAGTTGCCGAGGTGCAAGAAAAAGCCCTCGTGCATACAGAGAAAAAGCGGCAATTGCGGAGTCGACAGTCGTTGCAGCGGTGTACTCCATCGACGTCGAGCACATGGTGCTGTAGCACATGCGGTCGCGAGTGCCTGAGTCAGGCAGGTCCGATGAGCCACAAGCGGGGCCACCCCGGACCAGCATCAAAACGACGACGTGTCCTGTCGAGAACGTTAGCAGAACCAGCGGAGCTTTGGTGGATATGTTGCATTCG